AAAGAAACCAAAATACAGCAACCAAAACGAAGTAAATCAGAAGAAAGTGTACAAACAGTAAAAACAAGAAACCAAAATACATCAACCAAAACCAAGTGAATCAGAAGAAAGTGTAAAGAAACTAAAACCAAGCAACCAAAACCAAATAAATCAGAAAAAGTTTAAAAATAGTAATAGAAAGAAACCAAAATACAGCAACCAAAACGAAGTAAATCAGAAGAAAGTGTACAAATACTAATAGAAAGAAACCGAAATACAGCAACAAAAACCAAGTGAGTCAGAAGAAAGTGTACAAATAGCAATAGAAAGAAACCAAAATACATCAACCAAAACCAAGTGAATTAGAAGAAAGTTTCAAAATTGTAATAGAAAGAAACCAAAATACAGCATCCAAAACGAAGTAAATCAGAAGAAAGTGTACAAATACTAATAGAAAGAAACAAAAATACAGCAACCGAGCAAGTGAATCAGAAGAAAGTGTAAAATAGTAAAAACAAGAAACCAAAATACATCAACCAAAACCAAGTGAACCAAAAGAAAGTGTAAAGAAACTAAAACACAGCAACCAAAACCAAATAAATCAGAAAATTTTAAAAATAGTGATAGACAGAAACCAAAATACAGCAACCAAAACGAAGTAAATAAGAAGAAAGTGTACAAATAGTAATACAAATAAACCAAAATACAGCAACAAAAACCAAGTGAGTCAGAAAAAAAGTGTACAAATAGTAATACAAATAAACCAAAATACAGCAACAAAAACCAAGTGAGTCAGAAGAAAGTGTACAAATAGCAATAGAAACAAACCAAAATAAAGCAACCAACACCAAGTGAGTCAGAAGAAAGTGTACAAATAGTAATAGAAAGAAACCAAAATACAGAAACCAAAACCGTGTGAATCAAAAGAAAATGTACAAATAGTAAAAACAAGAAACCAAAATACATCAACCAAAACCAAGTGAATCAGAGGAAAGTGTACAAATAGCAGTAAAAGAAACCAAAATACAGCAACCAAAACCAAGTGAATCAGAAGAAAGTGCCCAAATAGTAATAGAAAGAAAACAAAATACTGTATCCAAAATCAAGTGAATCAGAAGAAAGTTTAAAAATTGTAATATAAAGAAACCAAACTACAGCAACCAAAACCAAGTGAATCAAAAGAAAGTTTAAAAATAGTAATAGAGAAAAACCAAAATACAGCAACCAAAACCAAGAAAATCAGAAGAAAGTGTACAAATAGCAATAGAAACAAACCAAAATACAGCAACGAAAACCAAGAGAATCAGAAGAAAGTGTACAAATAGTAATAGAAACAAACCAAAATACAGCAACGAAAACCAAGAGAATCAGAA